AGAGAGAGAGAGAGAAGGAGAGAGAGAGACCGAGAGAGAGAGAGAGAGACAGAGAGAGAGAGAGAGAGAGAGAGAGCGAGGAGAGAGAGAGAGAGAGAGAGAGAGAGAGAGAGAGAGAGAGAGAGACGCTTTCAACTGAGGTACCGTGTCAGGAGAGCCTCATATCAAGCAGAGGAAGACGTGACAGAAAGAAGAGGAAGCTGCTCTGCCCTAAACTAGACACTGAAGCTAACTCCACATTGGTAACTACTGTTGGATGCATGTGTGTGTATTTACCTGTGTGTGTGTGTCTGTATTTGTATGTGTGTTTGCATAATGCATGAGATTGATTCACCGTCTCTGCGACTCTGAATTAAATGTTCTGCTAAACATGATTTCCCATTGATTCAACCATTGCAGGGACATTACTCAGAACGCTGGTGTGTGTGTGTGTGTGTGTGTGTGTGTGTGTGTGTGTGTGTGTGTGTGTGTGTGTGTGTGTGTGTGTGTGTGTGTGTGTGTGTGTGTGTGTGTGTGTGTGTGTGTGTGGGTGTGTGTGTGTGTGTCAGAAGGAAAACAATTGTCACGTTTTGATTATTTGTACTGCTCTGTCTGTGGCTCTGTTATGTCTGGGTTTTCTGAATTGGTGTCTGGTGGAGGAGGAACTGATGGATACACCTGTGTGTGTGTGTGCGCACGTGCGTGTGTGTGTGTTTAGTAGGGCATTGTATTTTCCTTGTCTAAAGCTAACAGTCATATCTGCTTCAGCTCTAATCTCCCTTCTCTTTCATCCGTGTCTTTCTACCTAACCTTTTATGATTCCTCAGTCTGTTTCTCCACACTTCATCTCATTACACATGTTTTATTTACTGCTGTCAATCAATCAATTATTTTTGTTTTATAACATGTATACCAACAGTTAAGATAAGATCAATGCAACGGCAACCAAATACAGAAGTACACAAGGGCCAACATTCAAAGAGGAGGAAAAGTTGCTTTTATTTGCAGTTTTTTGGCTTTATCAGAAAACTTTGCATTGGCTTCAAAAGGATCATTATGTCATTCATCAGTGTGTGTGTGTGTGTGTGTGTGTGTGTGTGTGTGTGTGTGTGTGTGTGTGTGTGTGTGTGTGTGGTGTGTGGACTCACATCAATATTCTTTTGATATGTCCCCAATGCATCATACTTTCATTAACCCCCCTCCCCTTCTCTCACACCCCTACATCAGCTTCCATTTGTTGCCATGGCAACTGCGTTTGATCTCCTCTACCCTGCCCTCCATGCGAGCACCCTTCTTGTCACCCCATTTCTTTCACACTCCTCGTTTTTGTACACACTAGAGACTCTATTTCCCCCCCCCCTCCTCTTCTCTCACCTTTCCTCTCACACATGCCCTTTTTGGGGGAGACAGCCACACCCTCCCTCTAAGGGTCCTGCAGTTCTTTCCATCTTCTCTTCGTTTTTCTTTTTTTCTCCCCCTTCATTCGATTCTCCACTCCAAAACCAACACACACCCCGACCCATTGTCCTCACTGCTTTATGTGCTGCATCACCTTTTGAATTATTCATGTCATTGGTCACTGGTCACCGTGGTGACACAATCCTCCGATTAACATGCTGACCTCAGTGCTGTGGTGACTGTGTGTGTGTGTGTGTGTGTGTGTGTGTGTGTGTGTGTGTGTGTGTGTGTGTGTGTGTGTGTGTGTGTGTGTGTGTGTGTGTGTGTGTGTGTGTGTGTGTGTGTGTGTGTGTGTGTTTTTTGACCCAGTGGTGTGCTTCATTTCATTAGTGCATTCTGCATTAAAGTGCATGAGATTGTTATCATGATTAGTGTGTGAGCTGTTGGATTGAAGTGTTTTATTGATCAGCCTCTCTGGAAGCCGCCAAGGCAAGCATTACAATCAGTGTGTGGTCACTGGCTCTGAAAAGATTATATTACTTGTTAATGATTATGTATTACTTATTTCCTTTCACACATGCAGTCCATCCCTAAATGTTAAGTAACATTGTCTGCATGGGGTCATGTGGGAATGTGTGTAGGTATTGTAACATTGTAAGTAAAATATGTAGCTGCTACAGTCGACATAATCCAATCTTATCTAAACGTTAAAGTGTGGGTGGATACAGGTATTTCGAACAATGCCACTTGCACAGAGAAGTTATGCAGCTCTTTAGCAACCTGGGAATGTGAAAGTGAATTGTTACATTTAAATGTGCTTCATCCTTGTTTTGACCAACACCTGCTAATCCCCTCACTTCCCCTATGGAAAAAACTCACTCGCAGTGTTTTTATATAATGGCTCCCAGTAGAAACGATTAGGGACAGTTCAGATGTAATGTGTGATGTTAATGGGTAACAATATGTTATTCTATGGATCTCCCCCTTGTGAAATCACTGGCGGCAAAACATCTGAAACAAGGGAACAATGTGTTTACCCACCAGCCTGTATGCTAAGCAGCAGCTCCGACAGAGACGATTAGTATTCACACGCAGACCTCTGCAGCGTCAACACTTGTTCATGCACGCAGCAGAGAGAGCACTCATATTTAGTATTCATCAGTATTCTGCTCACTGCGAGGCTCCTCTCCTGTATCTGCACCTATTCTGCACTCCCCCACACATATGCTAATTCCTACACCCTAACACACTGTTTTCAATGTGTGTGTCTCTGTTCCTGACCAGTGGCTCGACATGTGGTGATGCTGAGCCGCCTCATCGATGAACTGTATGAACATTAAACTGCAGAGCCCGTATCAAATGATGCTTTCCAGCACACACACACTCAGATACACACACACACACACACTCAGATACAGTATACAGCACACACACACACACACACACACACACACACACACACTCAGATACAGTATACAGCACACACACACACACACACACACACTCAGATACAGTATACAGCACACACACACACACACACACACACACACTCAGATACAGTATACAGCACACACACACACACACACACACACACACTCAGATACAGTATACACACACACACACACTCAGATACAGTATACAGTACACACACACACACACACACACACACTCAGATACAGTATACAGCACACACACACATATACAGTATACAGCACAAACACACACTCAGATACAGTATACACACACACTCAGATACAGTATACAGCACAAACACACACTCAGATACAGTATACAGTATATATACAGTATACAGTACACACACACACACACACTCAGATACAGTATACAGTATATATACAGTATACAGTACACACACACACACACACACACACTCAGATACAGTATACAGCACAAACACACACTCAGATACAGTATACAGTATACACACACACTAAGATACAGTAGTACAGTGTACACACACACACACACACACACTCAGAAACAGTATACAGTACACACACACACTAATATACAGTACACACACACACACATATACAGTACACACACACTAATATACAGTACACACACACACACATATACAGTACACACACAATGCTCTATTCCTGGCAGGGCGATCAATAGAGCCCAGACACACAGACTTGTATTGGACCTATCGAAATGTAATGAAGAGATACAATTACATTATAAGCCATGTCCAGATACTCAGATCCCCACCATCTGACAAAACATGATCCAGAACATAAACACACACACACACACACACACACACACACACACACACACACACACACACACACACACACACACACACACACAGCAGGACTCTAGTTAGTCATCATATTGTTTGTATTTGGCTGCAGGATGGTCCAAACAGCTGTTCCTCCTGCTGGGTGTGGCCCTGTCATATAGCAGCAGAGCATTAAAACCTTGCCTCGCCACACACACACACACACACACACACACACATACATTTTGCAACTCTGTAAAATGTTGAAGACAGTTTTGAAATCCCTCCAGGCTTGTGCTGTAGCTGGAGGGAGAGGTTTTATGCAACATTTAAGTCTTTACAAACTTTTTTAATTATGATTTTGTTTGCTGACTGCAACTTCTCTTATATGCATGTGTGTGTGTGTGTGTGTGTGTGTGTGTGTGTGTGTGTGTGTGTGTGTGTGTGTGTGTGTGTGTGTGTGTGTGTGTGTGTGTGTGTGTGTGTGTGTGTGTGTGTGTGTGTGTGTGTGTGTGTGTGTGTGTGTGTGTGCGTGTGTGAGTGAACAGGCAACGAGAATCACCTTTTGTTTTAATTGAGATATACAAAAGCATTTTTGATGAATGCCAAATCAGCTTTGACAGAGCACCTTTCCAGCTCTACATGACGTTCAGTAAAACATCTTTTAAACGCTCTCAAATAAACAGTTAGTAACCCTTCTAACAGTCCCTATAATCCACAGACTGATTAGGGTTGGTGGCGAAGTCCATAGGGACTTGGCTTGGCAACTGGAAGGTCACCAGTTCAAGTCCCGGCAAGACCAAGTGCTACCGAGGTGTCCCTGAGCAAGGCACTGTTCCCTACACTGCTCCCTGGGCGCCGTTCAAAATGGCAGCCCACTGCTCCTAACACAGATGCAGAGAAACTATTTCCACACGGGGATTAATAAAGTATATCAAATAAAAGAAAAAAGAAAAGAAATAGCACAGTCTGGACCGAGCTCTGTGGGCCAGCTTCAGCGCGGACGTTGCTGTGTGTGTCAGTGTGTGTGTGTGTGTGTGTGTGTGTGTGTGAGCCTGTGTGTTGAAGTCATTCACTTTGAAAGATAAAAAGAAAACAGACTGTGAGGCAGAGATGAAAGTGCACAAATTGCTGTGTTGTGAACATCTGAATTTGTCTGGATTGCCTTGGCAATAAGTGGACCTCAGGTTGTCCTCCAGTCATGGTAGTTGTCAAAATCGCAGTTATTGTTGAGTGTTTTCTCTCTGACACACAGAGTGGTGTAAATACTTTATTCGTCTGTTTACAGTGGTTCTACGTCACTACAGCTTTTAACATCTGTCGCCTTTTCTTTAAGCTGTATTTTATGTATGTGCACTGTCCGTCTTAATTTGACATAAGAGGTCGATGGTATGATGTTCCCTCCTCCTCCAAAATCTTCCCACTTCATTTGTGTGGATGCATGTTCTAGTATCGGTTCACTCTCCTTGCATCAGCAGCATTTGTGCCCACTAGAGTTCGAGCGATTTTGATCAGAGAAAGTGTTTTGTGTGTGTGTTCATTTTACTGTCAATGCTTTCTCTTTAATAGCTGCTGTGCTCAGTGGGATTTCTGTTTCCCAATATCGATCAACTTTATGGGCATGGCTCCACATAAGTTAACATCCCATTCGACAGTTTTGACAGTCTAAATAACCAATAACAACATGCTCTTCTCTCCACCTCTGTGTTTAACAGAAACTGGACACATAGACCCGGTCTTCGAGCAGTACAACACCCCGGGTTTCGTCGGGTGTCTCTCGAGGGTTCAGTTTAACGGCGTCGCTCCGCTGAAGTCTGCTCTGAGAACCGTCTCACAGCCCACAGCCGGTCAGACAGACAGGCCGCCTGCAGCCGCCTCACACGTCTCCTACCAGGGGAAACTGCTGGAGTCCAACTGTGGGTCGTCTCCTCTCACCATCCCACCAATGTCTGCCGCCACTGACCCCTGGCATCTGGACAACACAGGTGAGGAGCGCTCCACATAGAGGGGTTGTATGAGGCATTTATCCATACTCAGTGTATACCCTACAGTAGATGGCTGCAGGCAATAATATCAGTGTTTGTGTACAACATATTTGAAACGTTTTTACTACTACAATTGATATTGATATTTTATGTTTTTTGCAAATCCACAGACTTCACATTAGGACCTCATACAACCTCATCTAAAATCATCCAAACCATCCCTTTAATATGCTGCTGTCAGTCCATGAGAAGTAATGCAGTAATGAGTAATAACTTCCTTCAGTAACATCACACACACAGACCTCAGATCTGCTGCGTCACACAGCAGCGTTTAGTGTTTCTCAGAGTCATTATTCAGGATGCAGCCTAATTATTTAGACTTGAAGCCAACTGTGCCTTAGGGAGCGCTGAGCCATCTGAGATCCATCCAGGTTTATTGATCAGGTCCAAATGCACAGTCAGCTCAGAGAGGATGGTAATTATTTTTGCTTTAAAAAAATATATAGATCTGATCTATAATTCATCCGGCTCTCCGTCAATGATCATTTTCTGTCTTCTCAGCGATTTTCTTCAAAGTTTTTTCACAGCTCCCATCCTCCTAACTTTCTGTTTTTCCATTTAAGTTTTTACTTCTCCTGTTTGTGTCTCATCTTTTCAAACACAATCAATTCTTGACATTATATCCAAACACTATAACACGATAAATGACTTTCTCTCCGCTCTGTTGCTTTCCGTTTCCCCCGCTTTCTCTCTTCTCAGCCTCCTCTTCTCCATCTCACTCATGCTCTTCACCTCCCTGGAGAGCTGAACATTCAACATTGCAGGTTGTCGTGTGCAATAAGGCTTGATTCATCATGTCTGCAGCTCTATCCAAGCTAGTTTTGGCGTGATCCTAAATAGAATTTACAGGCAAAATTGACAAATTTACGAAACTGTCAATGATATCTTCGTTCTCATTTACCACCCACCATCTCCACTTGTCATCTCTCTCTCCGCTTATCTTCCTGCCCTTATATCCGTTCAGGGAGAATCACAGCAATTAGATGTGTTAGTTGTAGTGGGCAGGCAGAAGCAGCAGCTGTTATTAACCTCTTAACCCGTCATGGATCTGTAAGGAAAGACATACCAAAAAGACATTAAATCAACTCCACCAGTCATCCCCTAAGGATGCTCTGTATCCATTCTGTTGATGGTGATTCATGTAATGAGTGAAGCTGAAGCCAATAAACTGAGCGCTGTGGCTTTTTGCTTTGAAAAGGGAAACTTGTGTAAATTCAGCACAACTCAGAGCAAAGGCCACTTTTTATGACTTGTTGCTTGTAGCATGAATTTAATTGTGTGAATATATGGTTTGAATTGTTCCTCTTCCTGGCTGTCCTCAGATGCAGAGTTCCCCTTCAACGAGGAGAGAGTGATTCCTGATGGAGTCAACCGAGACTCGGCTATCATCGGAGGTAAAGAAAGTCACTTCTAAAAGCTTTGTCAGATCTGTGTTTGGGGTTGTACTATTGTGTATAAAAATATATTTCAAATGTTCAACCTAAAGAATGATATTCCCATACAAATAAACTGCATTGGCATTGAGGCAAAACCAATCAAAGATGCTATGAAATGACTTGGTTTTATTTAGGCATTAAAGTTATTGTAAGAATTAATTAAGTAGATGTTCCCCTCGAGACGCAATCACCGGCAAACGACCTCCTGACTAACGGTCTGTGTTTCCATTCACAAAACCTGTTTTCTAAGCAGACTTCTGCGGATAAGAAACATATTTATGATACCTCAAAAAGAAATGTAATCCAGAAGAAAATACAAATCCCCTTTAAAACGTTATTGACATTTTATATTTTATTACAAAATACTTTTAAGGACACCAGGCTGCATATTGACAACCCAAATACCTGTACTTTCTAACTTCTTACATGTTGAACACAAATACCTGTACTTTCTACTTCTTACATGTTGAACACAAATACCTGAACTTTCTACTTCTTACATGTTGAAACACAAATACCTGTACTTTCTACTTCTTACATGTTGAAGCCCAAATACCTGTTAGAACTTTTTACTTCTTACATGTTTACTCAAATACCTGTACTTTCTACTGCTTACATGTTGGAACCTCAAATACCATGTAACTTTCTACTTCTTACATTTTAACTCAAATACCTGTACTTTCTTACTTCCTTACATGTTGAACACAAACACCTGTACTTTCTATCACTTCTACATGGTTAACTCAAAATACCTGTACTTTCTACTTCTTACATGTTAACTCAAATACCTGTACTTTCTACTTCTTACATGTTGAACACAAATACCTGTACTTTCTACTTCTTACATGTTGAACACAAACACCTGTACTTTCTACTTCTTACATGTTGAACTCAAATACCTGTACTTTCTACTTCTTACATGTTGAACTCAAATACCTGTACTTTCTACTTCTTACATGTTGAACTCAAATACCTGTACTTTCTACTTCTTACATGTTGAACTCAAATACCTGTACTTTCTACTTCTTACATGTTGAACCCAAATACTTGTACTTTCTACTTCTCTCATTTTCCAAACAGCTGGTTCCTTTAGTCTGAATGTGTGTTTGGTGCGTGATCATTATTCTTTAGAGTCATTGTGTGCCTATTGATTTGAACACGATCCGTGTATCCATCATTTCCTGGTCTTCTCTAAAGAAGAGGGACCAATGGAAACGTTGTCATGTTGCCGTTGTTCAGCATGGAAACATTCATTAGCTAACAATGACATTATTGTTCTATTAATATAAAGGGAGGTCAGGTACTCTTTAAAACAGCTGCTAGTTATGGGTACTTTCTACTGAAGTACATTTCAAAGCCTCTTTACTTTCACTTGAGTAAACAAGTTTAGTCAGTACTTCTACTTTTACCAGAGTATTTTTAAACACGTGTATCTGTACTTCTACTTGAGTAAAGGATGTGTGTACTTTTGCCATCTCTGATAAAAACACACAATAACAGATGTTTTTGTTGTGCACATGTTGTCCTCCTCAGGTATCATAGCGGTGGTGATCTTCACCATCTTATGCACTCTGGTGTTCCTGATCCGCTACATGTTCCGCCACAAAGGCACGTACCACACCAACGAGGCCAAGAGCACCGGGGAGGCGGCCACAGAGTCGGCGGACACGGCCATCGTCGGCACCGACAACCCCGAGACCATCGAGGAATCAAAGAAGGAGTGGTTCATCTAACGGCCAATGAGAGAGGACTTTGAGAGAGGAAGTGAGGCCTCAGACAGAGGAGGTTTAATGTAATGGCCAATCACGGGAGAGATGGAGGCCATTCAACAGGACAATAATCTCCCAGAGAGAAGGAAAGACGTGTACAGAAATCGTTTTGTTTGTTTGTTTTGTTTTTTATATATTCAGAGTATTAGAAGAGAAGGGGGACGGTTACGCAGCGGAGCACGGCTGTGACAGACTGAACATGTATATACTAACCGGATTGTCCTTCTTTGTATCGTGCTTGGGAGTTTTCAGGAGTCCTTTGAATACTGTATGACAAATAATTATACTTACTGGGTCGTGTGATAGCACAGATTTATTGCCAGTCTCTGTTGCATTTTGATTTTATTTTTTAACAAAATCTTATATCGAAAAAGGATCAAATCAACATGCCAAACTCTTTTTATGTTAATTTATCAGGCTGTGGTTGCACCAGTCTGTCAACACTCACATGCAAATGACATTTCCACTTATATCGTGGTATTATAGAGTTGAATATGGATGCCAAAACTCACTTTGTAAATACAATATTTGTGTTCTTTTTTTCTTTTTCTCAAAAGATTTATTCAGAGTCTAATACATAAACACTAAAGAGAAATGTCAGATCTATATTACGATATCATGTGTCCGTCCATTACATTATATATGTATTAAATATAGAGTTTTATGTTTAAATCTTATGACATTCGATTGTACGTATTGCTTTCTGAGGAGGGGTTTCTCAGCATGATGGGAAATCATGGTGTTCAGCTCGGCAGCTTCTTTTGAGCCTTTGCTCATCCAGACATGAGCCATCCTCTCGTTTCTTTGCCAAACACTTGAGTCTTACGTCATTTTACAAACCGGTATTTTTACATCTGAGACTGACGTTGGGCTGTGGGTTTGCAGTGCGTGCATTTATGTTTATGTGTAGGTCAGACGATTTGTTTTATTGGATAAAAGGAGATTGGTTCACACAGATGAGATCAAACAACTCGAGTTCTATTGATGCTCTTAATTTCATGCAGTGAGTGGTCAAAGAAGCATCAAAGTCCCCCAAAATATACTTAATATTTGTTCAAACTGGGATCCTAATCTGGGAAGGAAAAGATCATATTTGGCTTTTTAATCCTTTGTGCCTTCGAGGTGTTGTTCCCCAGATTACTACTATTACACGTAATGCAATGACTTGCTGCTGCTGCTGCATGAATTCTCATTAATCCGATTCAGTTAGGTATCTTCTTTATGTCTCCTGATTTGAGCGATGTGTTTAACTAACCACAAATTCAGAATGCGTAGGCGATAAAAGTCCAGTAAAAGTTTCTTTATTCTTACATTTGAAGCATAGATGTGTGGGGTTTTATGCAGCAGGTACATTGACAGAGCTGCACGCTATACAAATACACAAGAGGCTTACACCCACCCTCTGTGACACACACACACACTCGCAAACATGCATGTTTGATAGAGCATGTCAAGGTTGAACATTCATGAGGCTGCTGCTTAGTCAACGATGAATTGAGCTTCACTCTGTGCCACTGTTGTCCATCACACAAGACTTTCAAACCACTTGTTTCTCCTGCCATCGTTGCGTGTGTTTACCTTAGCGTAGCATTTACAGAACAACGTTGCTGCCAACTTTGTACTTTTGTCATGAATTTGCTTTCTGTACGTCTGTTTTGTCTCCTTTCTGCCATGACACCCTGTTACCTGATTGGTTGAGTGCTAGCTGCAGATCACTTTATCAGACATGAGGACAGCTAGTGAACTCAGCCTGCCTTCGGCCTCATCACATCCAGGCGACCCAGTGACTTTCCTTTTCTTATGATTATATTACTCAGATATACATAATCGCGCCCACATGCTCTGGATATGTGACTGCAGATAACGATGGATTATCAGCTCCAACAGACATGACCCATATGTTTTGCTTTCAGTTGTGTTCAGTTCAATAAAGAGTGTTTGATCTTTAATATCACTCTCTTTCTGTGCATCACTTTCATGTTGACATGTAGATATCTTCAGACAGACAGCAGATCAGTGGTTAAAGACATTCCCATTCGTTTCAAGCATTTAACGGTGCATTTACAAGCTTTTCCAGCACCATAAAGCTGTGGTATTTAACATGTACACAGCATACAGCGTACTGGTTAATGCATCTTGTCACATTTAATGTAATGTTATTTGCTATAAACACATTTTCATGACAGATAAACACAACTATTGTTTATGTTTTTTAATGTGTCACCTGTTAGAAGGTAGCCCTGGCACCTACTAACAGGCACCTATATAACCAACAAAAATCTAGGCTTTTTTCAATTATTCAAAAAACACAACAATCTATATATCTTGCTCTCACAAACCTATTGGAATAGAATAGCTAATTTTTAAAGTATTTTTGCAGGTAATATGGACAGTTTATTTCACGTTTCGTACCTTTAACTTCATTAACTCATTGTCATTGGCTTATAATTATCTTTCAAATATACTGTGAAGGTAAGTCAGAGACAGGTCATAGGCTGCCCCCTTGTGGGGAGATTCTGTAATTTTTAGGAAAAAAACATGATTAACCGAATTCAGTGCAATTTAATGCAAATATGTATCCCCTGGTGTTTGTAGGCAGCTGACAACAGCCAGGTGAACAACTACCAAAACAATATACGAAAAGAGAGATAAATAATGCAAATCAAATGAACAACCAAATTGAAAGTATTAAAGACTACAAATAAATGAAATACAATATTTATTTATTTTAAACCCAAGGACGCTATAAAAGGTACAAAATGACATAGTAAGAATAAGCAGTCGGCTACCAGAGGGAAGAAAAGGACACATACATACACAGAGGATAAAAGCACGCCCTGAAGGCAACAGTGATAGGTTCAATGTCCTAATAACTTTCTAGGATGTTCCATTTACGTTACACAAATTAGACTGCAATAGTCTTTTAACAGAACACCTGCTACAGCTAGAAATGATTATCAGACTGAAGCCAGTTTATCTATTTCTCTTGCCATATTATTGATCTTCCTTGTCCAAAACATGGCGCCTACATTACCCACAATGCAACTGGTCAGTCGGTGATACCAGGGCCCTTTCTCATTTCATCAAATCCGACTCCTCGGTCCTCCGGTAGTGACCCAGAAATGAATTTCAGCGCGCCATGTTGAAGGACATCTAATTTCTCTAAATGAATTTCGAGGATCGAGCATCGAGGAGGCTCTCTGGAGGCAGGGCTGCCAACATTTGAGTTCAGCTTGGAGTGAGATTTTTTTTTTGGTGAACCGAAAAAAGAAACGTTCATGGGTACAGTGTTACAAATGTATTGAACATGTACAAACTAGGGTTTCCCATTAATGTACCGGGCGCTACAGTGGAATACGCACACACACAGTGTACCCGCGACTCTTACAATGAAGGCTCGATGATCAGCTCACAGCATATAACATGGCATATAGGTGTAAGCAGAGGTAAAGTGCTATTTTATAAGTGGGGGGGGGGGGGTCCGAGAACAGATTTTCTTTTTCTTTATGGATATTTTTACAAATCACTCACCTTTTAAACTGTATTCTTGTTTTACTGTCATATAGTATTTCATAACTGTTTTTCACGTATTCTCATAAATGGTGACCAAACCGTTTGAGACCCACTGAGATAACTAGACTAAAGTTAACTATCTAAACAGAGAGTCCCATACCTCACTGAGCTGTAGTTATCTCTCTCAATCTGAAAGGACAGAGCTCTCCCTTTCCTTGTTTTAGAAACAGCTTCTAATATCCGTTAGCGCAGCTAGCTAACCAGATGCTAACAACAACAATGCAAATAGTGAGTTTGGTCGAAATATACTGTATAATAGTAAAGTTATTGAAGATGATGCCATATTTATTGAAGATTTACATTATAAATATCAAATCAAAAGCATATTCTTCCAAACTCCTTGCTGTAGTATGACACACATGAGACTATTGATGTGTGTAGTGAGTTTGGTAGTAATAAGCTGTATAATAGTGATTGAATGTTATTGTATTCTCTTTTTTGGGAGTTGCACTTTGCAGACGGTCCCTGAGCACTCGTTTCTTCTCCGACTGCGGATAGAGACCAATGTAATGTGTCCAGCTCGGAGGACGCCGCGTATTGGCTTTTTTTTTTAATCAAAATGTGATTGTAGTTCGTTGTCAACCTTACCACGGTACTTAGGAGACGTCATCTGTGTCTGAATAACGTTTTGTTCATGAGTTATTGATCCGTGAAATCAGAATCTCCCAATATCGTTCCAACTTTACTGAACCAAGCCAGAAGACCGTCTCATTTCGTAGACCGCTCGGTTTGCTGTTCCTTCACTTTATTTTTATATTTATATTTATATACATTTATTTTGGACGAAAACTTAGCGTGAGGAAAGGCAAGTGTGGCGTGAGTGCGTGAGATATGGGTTAATTGCGTGACTCTCAAGCAGGGCCGTTTCTTTCTATATGCGGACTATGCGGGGGCATAGGGCCCCCGCGGCCACTAGGGGCCCCCAAGCTGAAAGTATTTTTTTTGTATTCATCCGAAAAACAAAAAGTTTAATTCATACTGTTGGAGATTTGGAAGGATAACTGGTCCGCTTTTCAAATCTCCGCGCGTTCCTATGAAGCTGGTTATAATACAGGAAGGAATCCATAGCTACAAAGTAACCGTTAACAATAATCTACTTTAATGGCAATATGACAATGCAATACAATCATTACAATACAACATGATATATTACAGTTATATTGCAATGCTTAAGGAGTAATGCCGGCTTACTCCTGCTCTAGTCCGCATACTACAGAGCTACTTTCACCCGAGGGCAGCATGTGAAGAAGAGGCCGAACGCCAGGGATCCTCCGGAGATATATCAGAGTAAGAAGGAGGGGTTTGGTGTTAGGTCAGCTGGTCATCTTTTCAGGTCATCTCATTGGGAGACGCAACGCAGCAGGAAACGCAGCAGGAAACCAAACAGGCTCACTTTCCAACAAAAGGTCTCAAGGCCTGCATACCTACACCTCCCCCACAGAGCTATAAAACCCTGTTTACTCCAACCAGCCCAGAATGTTTATAGCCATTTGTAGTCCTTACATTTATGAAAGGATAAAACAGAGAAATCAATATAAAACACAAACACAGGTATTGTTTGAACAGTATTCACTTAACTGCTACTATTGATAAGCACCAGAGAAACCCAAGGGACCTCTCTTAACATCACAACCACTGTAGCTCGTTCTAAGTTGAATGCAAATCAGGACATGCTTTCACCTTCCCCCATCTTCCTTTGTCCTCAAAAACACATGTCAACAGGCCCCAAATGCAGCTCACAGTTTTACCCAAATTATTCCCATTTTAAGCTTATCCATAGTTTGCTAACATGAATAAATACAAATATAACTCTACAATACACACAAAGATGAACAAAATTAGTAGAAGCGGGAGGGCTGAAGCATAGCTTGTGGAAAGTAGCCCTCCCGTGCATTATCCTAATACAGCGGCATTATTGCGTCAAAAACGTATAGAAATGAAGTACAACAAAATTAAGAAAACAAGAGAACAATTTAAATAAAAGTTAGGGCAGGAAAACAATAAATGCATATATATATATATATATACGAAAACTAGATATAGGGTCATTTTCTGCACATGTCAATAGCAGTTTCAACTATCTTTTTTTGGAAATTAAAATACTATGTATAAATATATACATAGGTACACATGTACTTGGCAAATGAATAATAATAATAATATATGCATAATTGCATATAAACATTGTGAACACTTATTTTCAAGTGACTTTTTTTACATTCATATGTTCACGCTGTGGTTTGGAACTGCTTTTGAATGTTATTAGGCATTTTGTTATGGAAAATGTTGTGCATAATCAGTACTGTTTTAAGCTCAACACATTTTAATAGATTGAGTTTTTTTAAATATGGGAGTTTTGTGTTCATATTTACCAACACCACAGACTATTCGTAATATTGATGTTATTATTTTTTGTAGATTTGTTGAGTACGTGTTTCCCCATATTTCGGAGCAGTATTAAAGGTAAGGGAGAAATAGACTGTTATAAAGACTATATTTTCTTCAAGAATGTTCTTAGTATGATACAAAATACCTATTGTGTTTGACAGTTTAGTCTGTACATAATGTATATAGTGCTTCCAATTGAGTTTTTCGTCAACAAGCAGTCCTAAAAATGTACATGCACCAACTTTTTCTATCTCTGTATTGCAAATCCGTATAATGCAGTCATTTATACTCTCAGACTTTGTATTGAATAACATGTCATTTGTTTTGGCCACATTAAGGGATAATTTATTAACTGCAAACCAGTTACATAGTATTTTTAATTCTGCATTCACAATTTTAACAAGATCGCCAAGATTATGATGGGAGCAGAGAATTCAAAGTTCAGGTTCAGCCTCAATATATTTGGGGAGAATTAAAATGAGCCGTCTTTATTTGCAGACAGCCAAGCCCCCTCCTGTGAGTGTTCGGTGAAGCATTATATGCTTACAAATCCAATGTAGGATATAAACACGACTAAACTGCAATGATAGCAAAGCTGTGGCTTGGGTTTTTGGGGTAATAAAGTCCAAATCATCGTTGGGCTGACAGCTGAGAAAATACTGCATCTCTTGCATTTATTGACAGAGGAGCCTTATTGTTTACCTTTTTAATATCATTTTTTGTAATTTTCAATTGCTTTGGTTTTCGTGAAATTAGCCTGTTTTCCTATTAAAGTGTAACAGATTGATGCATCTCCACAGATCATCTTAAAGGTCCCATGTCATGCTTTTCCGGTTATTACCCGTCCCCTTGTGTGTTATGAAGGTTTTTATGCAAGTAAACGGTGTGCAGAGTCAAAACCCTCAAAGTACACCCTGTAGCGAGTAAAACTCTAACACAGAAAATACCTCCCCAAAACGCCTCGTTGGAGATACGTCACTGTCCATTG